TATTTATATATATAATCATATATATAAATGATATATATAATCATATATATATATATCAATCACTCATGTATGTGTGTGTGTATATATATAATCATATATATGAATTATATATATATATATATATCATCAATCACTCGTGTGTGTCTGTGTGTGTATAATTCATATATATATATATATATATATGGCGTGTATATATATATATAATCATATAAATGAATATTATATATGTATGTATGCAAATAAAAGGGGGGAATTATATAGGGCTTGAAACTGTACTAGTTGCTGTTCTTATGTGTATATGTATATGTGTGTGTGTGTGTGTATATATATATATAATATACACATACCTATATTGCCATAACAAATCATCCTAGTCATGGTTCATGTATGTCTCTCTCTTTCTCTCTCTAAAACTAGTCACTGTATATAGATATGTATATATTATATGTATATATATAGGGCACAGAGAAGGCTTCAAATGGGACCAGTTGCTGTTCACATATATGTGTCTGTGTATGTGTATACACACATATATATACGCATATACATATACGCATGCTGTTCATGTATGTGCATGTATACACAGACACAGATATACATGTGTGTATGTGCACACACACACACATATATACACATACACATATACGCATGCTGTTCATGTATATGTGTGTGCGTGTGCACACATACACATATATACACATATACCTATACAGACACACACATAAACAGTGACCAGTATGATTTGAAAACCTATGGCATTTTCTATAGTATTCTTTACATGTATGCATATAATACATATCCACATGAGCATGAACAGTGACCAGTTCGATTTGTGTATACACACAGACACAGATATATACTCATACACACAAACATATATATATGTACATGCATACAAATATACACATCAACACAAACATATATACATATATACACACATATATGAACAGTGACTAGTACTATTTGAAAACCTATGTTGTTTCCTATGGCGTCCTTATATATCCATGCATACATAATCATGGACCACAACTAGCACAATATAAAACCATCTCTGTCATTTTCTATGTAATTCTTTATATATATATACACACACACACACACACACACACGTACACACCCAACATGACTAGTAGGATTTGAAATTCTATGTCATTTCCATTGCAATTGCTCTCCTGTTTGGCTTTGGCCAGCAGCACACATATATCCATATATCCGTATCTATCTATATATCTATATCTATATATATTCATATCTATATATATCCATATCCATATATATGTCTATATATCCATATATACATACACATCCCTATATATCCATATCTATATATATCCATATATTCATATCCATATATATATATATATATATATATCCATATATACACACATATATCCATATCCATACATATATATCCATATCTATCTATATATCCATATATCCATACACATCCATATATATCCATATCCATATATATCCGTATATATATATCTCTATATATTCATATCCATACATATATATATATCCATATGTATATACACACATATATCCATATATCCATATATATCTATATATCCATATATCCATATCTATATACATATATATTCATATCCATACATATATATATCCATATGTATATACACACATATATCCATATCCATACATATATATCCATATATCTATATCTATCTATATATCCATATATCCATATCTATATATATACATATTCATATCTATATATATCCATATCCATATATATATATATATATATCCATACACATCCATATATATCCATATCCATATATATCTGTATATATATAAATCTCCATATATTTATATCCATACATATATATATATATGCACACACATATATCCATATCCATACATATATTATATATCCATATGTAGATAGATAGATATATGGATATGAGAATGTGGATGTGAGATATGGATATATATATATATATAGAGAGAGAGAGAGAGAGAGAGAGAGAGATCCATATCCATATATCCATACATATATATATATATGCACACACATATATCCATATCCATACATATATTATATATCCATATATATATATATATACACACATATACATATATATATATCCATATATCCATATATATATCCATACACACACATATATACATAGAAATACACACACATATATATCCATATATATCCATATATATATAGAGAGAGAGAGAGATCCATATCCATATATCCATACATATATATCCATATCCATATCTATCTACATATCTATCCATATATCTATATTCTCACATATACATATGCATCTACATATATATGGACATATGGATGCTGCTGGCCAAAGCCAAACAGGAGAGCCATTGCAATGGGCTTAGACAGATAGAGATCTCTATGTATAGATCTCTGCATTGCAATGGCTGTGTCCCTGAGCATCCATCCTCTCTGCAGAGAAGGAGGGGAGCCAGGGGGTGCCTGTTTGCCTGCCTGCCTGGCTGGCTCACTTACCCGGCTGGTGCAACCTCCAGGGCCAGAAAGCAGAGCTGCTTTCCGTGCTCAGGCGCCTTGCTCTCCAGATTGATGCCTTGGTGGTGCACCAATGCCCCTTGCAGGAAAACCAGAGGGAGAGGAGAGGAGACCCGGCTGGCTCTCTGCACATGCCCCGGCGCCCGGCTCTCTCTCGCTTGGCTCTTCCTCCGCACAAGGGTGCCCACCCACCACACAGCCACAATCCCGGGCAGAAGAAAGAGAGGCCGGTGCGTGTCTAGTCACCGCCCGCGCCGCAATTGCCAAGCCTGGGTCAGCCTCTGCAGAGCCTGACCACCAACCACTCTGCATGGGGAAGGAGGAGGAGGAGGAGGAGGAGGAGGACCACAAAGAGGGAGGGAGGGAGGGAGGCTGCCACTCAGACCATGGCTTTTCTTCCTCCTCCTTTTCTTCCTCTTCTTCTTCTCTTCCCCCTTCCCTTCTTTTCTTCCTCCTCCTCTTCTCTTCCTCTTCTTCTTCCCCCTTTCTTCCTCTCTTCTCCTTCCTCTCTTCCCCCTTCCCTCCTTTTCTCTCCTTCTTCTTTCTCTTCCCTCTTCCCTTTCTCTTCCTCCCTTCCCTTCTTCTCTTCCCCTTCCCTTCTTCTCTTCTTCCTCTTCTCCTCCTTTTCTTCCTCTTCTCTTCCCCCTTCCCTTCTTCTCTTCCTCCTCTTCTCCTCCTTTTCTTCCTCTTCTTCTTCTCTTCCCCTTCCCTTATTCTCTTCCCCCTTCCCTTCTTCTCTTCCCCCTTCCCTTCTTTTCTACCTCCTCTCATCCTCCTTTTCTTCCTCTTCTTCTTCTTCTCTTCCCTCTTCCCTTCTTCTCTTCCCCCTTCCTCCTTTTCTTCCCCTTCTTCTTCTCTTCCCCTTCCCTTCTTTTCTTCCTCCTTCTCTTCCCCCTTCCCTTCTTCTCTTCCCCCTTCCCTTCTTCTCTTCGCTCTTCTTCTTCTCTTCCCGTTCCCTTCTTTTCTTCCTCCTCTTCTTCTCTTCTTCTTCTTCCCCCTTTCTTCCTCTTCTTCTACTCTTCCCTTCTTCTCTTCCCCCTTCCCTTCTTCTCTTCCCCCTTCCCTTCTTCTCTTTCTCCTCCTCTCCTTCTTTTCTTCCTCCTCTTCTTCCCCCTTTCTTCCTCTTCTTCTTCTCTTCTTCCTCTTCTTCCTCCTCCTCTCCTTCTCCTCCTCTCCTCCTTTTCTTCCTCTTCTTCTTTCCTCCTCTTTTCTTCCTTCTCCTCTTTATCCTTTCCTTCTCCTCCTCCTCCTCTTCTTTTCCACTTCATTCTCATCTGGCTCTTCTTTTCCTCCTCCTCTTCCTCTTGTTTTCCTCTTCTTCTCTTCTTCCTTTTCTTCCTTCTTCTCTTCCTTTTTCCTGGTCCTCCTCTCCTCCTCCTTCTCTTCTTCTTTTCTTCTCCTCCTGCTCTTTCTTTTCCTCCTCTTCTTTTTCTCCTCCTCCTCTTCTTCTTTTCTTCCTCTTCTCTCTTCCTCCTTCCCTTCCCTTCTTTCTCTTTTCTTCATCTTCTTCTTCTCCCCCTCTTTTCTTACTTCTCTTCCTCCTTTCCTTCTCCTCCTCCTCTTCTTTTCCACTTCATTCTCTTCCTCCTCTTCTTTTCATCTCCTTCTCTTCTTCCTCTTCTTCCTTCTTCTCTTCCTTCTTCTCTTCTTCCTCTTCTTTCTCCTCCTCCTCTCCTCCTCCTTCTCTTCTTCTTTTCTTCTCCTGCTTTTTCTCTTCCTCCTCTTCTTTTTCTCCTCCTCTTCTTCTTCTCTTCTTCCTCTTCTTTCTCCTCCTCCTCTCTTCCTCCTTCTCTTCTTATTTTCTCCTCCTCCTGCTCTTTCTCTTCCTCCTCTTCTTTTTCTCCTCCTCTTCTTCTTCTTTTCTTCCTCTTCTTTCTCCTCCTCTCCTCCTCCTTCTCTTCTTCTTTTCTTCTCCTCCTGCTCTTTCTCTTCCTCCTCTTCTTTTTCTCCTCCTCTTCTTCTTCTCTTCTTCCTCTTCTTTCTCCTCCTCCTCCTCCTCCTCTTCTTCTTTTCTTCTCCTCTTGCTCTTTCTCTTCCTCCTCTTCTTTTTCTCCTCCTCCTCTTCTTCTTTTCTTCCTCTTCTTCCTCTTCTTCTTCTCTTCCTCATTGCCTTCTCTTCTTCCTCTTTTTTCCTCTTCTTCCTTCTTCTCTTCCTTCTTCTCTTCTTCCTCTTCTTTCTCCTCCTCCTCCTCCTCTCCTCTTTCAGCCAAAGTTCCCCATTGTTCCCATATCTCCGCACTGAAAAGATCCGGACCTTGGCAGGATCGCCACACATCAATGTTTATTGCAGCCACTCAGTGACAATAGGAATGGCTGGCTCGCAGGCCACAGGACTTGCTGGCCGCATGGACATTTCCTATCTCCATAATGGAGCCACCGGTGGCGCAGTGGATTAAACCCCTGTGCGGGCAGGACTGAAGACCAACAGGTCGCAGGTTCGAATCCGGGGAGAGGTGGATGAGCTCCCTCTATCAGCTCCAGCTCCTCAGGTGGGGACGTGAGAGAAGCCTCCCACAAGGATGATAAAAACATCAAATCATCCAGGCGTCCCCTGGGCAACGTCCTTGCAGACGGCCAATTCTCTCACACCAAGAGTCACTCCTGACATGACCATAAATCTCCATAATCCTCTCAAGAATCCATTGTTTCCCTCTCGTCCCGCCTCCCTCTCTCCTGATTCGTCAGGACGCCGAGGCGGCAGAAGCCGAGCAATCGGCTCAGGCGCTCAGAAGGTGGCCAAGCCTCCTCCCAGCTGTAGCAGCGCCAGCCAATCACCGTTGAGCCAGCAGAGGTGCGGGGAGCGGGAAATTCAAATCTAACAACTAGGCTTGGTTGATCAAGAAAAAAAATGGTTCTAAACTCGTTTTGTATATAGGGTCAATTTTGAAATTATTTCCGAAATTTTCTTTAAAAAAAGATCAGAAATACCAGGAAATACGAATTGCTTCCTTTGTTTCGTTAATGGAAGGTGCCCCTCCCTCCCTCCAGAACCATTAAAATCTCGCAGTTTCCCTTCCTTCCCTTGCTGCGAGCTTCCATGCAGAAGGGAGAGTTGGGCGTGGCCAAGCACAGCCCTCCTTGGAGGCCTCGCCCCCAGCGACCTCCAAGGAGGGCGGTGCTTGGCCACGCCCACCTCTCCCTTCTGCATGACTGACAGCTTGCCATGGAAGGGAAGGAAAGATGAGAGATTTTAAAACTATCGCCATAATCCTCTCAAGAATCCATTGTTTCCCTCTCGTTCTGCCTCCCTCTTTTAAAATCTCTCTTCTTTCCTTCCCTTCCGTGGCAAGCTGTCAGTCATGCAGAAGGGAGAGGTGGGCGTGGCCAAGCACAGCCCTCCTTGGAGGCCTCGCCCCCAGCGACGTGGCCAAGCACAGCTCTCCTTGGAGGTTGCTGGGGGCGTGGCCTTCAGGGACAGCTGTTCTTGCCCACGCCCACCTCCTTCCTCTTTGCATCGGCGTCTTTGCGAGGTGGGCTTTGCGAGGTGGCCGTGGCTACGCCCAGCTCTTCCGCATCGCCGCTTGTCGCCAGGGAGGTAGCCACGCCCACCTCGCAAAGCTGCCGATGCAAAGAGGAAGGAGGTGGGCGTGGGTAAGAACAGCTGTTCCTGAAGGCCACGCCCCCAGCATTTACGATTCACTGCCGGAAGTCGTAAGGAAGATGGCGGACGCGTCTTCGATATGGCAAAAACACTTCCGGGTTGCCAAAACGCACCGATATCGCTTCTAAAGGTATTTTATTTACGATTTCTTAACGAGATTAGAAATTAATGACCTGGATCAACTAAGCCTAGTACTGACAACTCTGTTTCTGTATTAAAAAAGGCTTTTATTTGTGCACATGTTATGTGAAATATTGCTGCTTTGCATCCTTTTCAGCTGAATCGCAATAAAATCATCTCGGTGGCACTTCCTTCAACTTTGGTGAGATTTTAGCGAGCCCTCTTCGGTGGGTCCGCAGGGTCTCTCCTTCAGGGCCAGACCCTTTTAAATTCCTCCTTGATTTCATAGAAATACAACACCGCCTGACCTCTGCGAGTGCAGCATTTTCCCAAATGAAGCAGAGAGTGTTTGAGGATCAGGACATCCGT